ATGTGATACGATGTTGGAGTAGACACCCTGAGTCTTGTGTGAAATGGGAAAACCGTAGTCTGAAAGTGAGATAGGACATCTTTAGTCAGGTGATCCTATCACTGAAGGTAAGCTCGAGCCACTGGGTATGTGCACATGATCTAATAGAGCCTTTGGTTTCAATCAGGATAATGTGAAGGTTCGGATTATAGAATAATCATACTAGAGTAAAAATAACCTATGATTATGGAAATGTTCATGTTTGAATATGTTAAATGGGTGTTTTTACATATATGAGCTTTTCTTGCTTATAGTTATGCATGTTAATTGATAGCTGTGAATTATTCTGTTACTGAGATATTTATTTTACCCTGTGGTTATATGTTACAAGAGAAGGCTTCGGTAAGGGGAAAGGGAAAAGAAAGAACTATCAAGGATTAAAGAGTTTTAATTTGTATAGCTCTTCCCTTTATGTTTTGGTATTATAACAAATAGCTTTTAATGTGCCAACTTAGGATTTCATGTATATTTCAAGTTGCTTGCATGAAAAATTATGTGATGAGTATATCTTGGCCTAGAATGATGTATCTATGATGAAATAATTGTGAGAAGTCGAGATATCAGTGTAAGTGATGATTTCGTAATATTTTGCATGTGTGGTTAGCCAAGTATGTTATTTGGGATTATATTATTACCCCTTGATATTGTTGTGAAATCAGGGTTTTGATGGCCAAATTGTGTATAGACTATTGTTGATGTGATATAATTGATTTATCAAGTAATGTGTGTTCTATTTAAGTTAGTTCAAGTGATTTCAATACTATTGGCACTAGGTTAAGGGTTTTGGACATTCTTGGGTGTGCCTTGATTTGAAAACAAACTAAATTGGGTTTGGAAGTCTAACTTTTAAATGATTGAATATTTTGATATAAGATTAGTGCTAATAGTTAAAAGGTTGGAAGAGCCACGTGTGAGCATTTAAATCGCTCAAATTGAATGTCAAATGGCGAAACAGTGTACTCTAAAAGTTAGATTTGGAGTGCGATCATGACAACAATGATGCGTCATATCGCATTGCACGACCAGAACCTTGGGTTCCTTGCACGACAGATGAAGCACTTTTGAGATAACCCAAAATGCCCCCTTTAGTGCTTGTTTAAGAGGTTATTCAACTTTCTTGATTCCGCTATCTTTTATAACTTGTTTTGATCTATAATTTAAGTTCAAATGGCTTTTCAAATTGGATTTTCATGGGATCTCAATTTTAAATTATTTTTCTTAAACCCTTATGTAGTAATGACTTTATTTAAAGAATTTTATTATTCATGATTATTACAACGGTGTGTTTAAAGTGTTGTTTTGGTAACGTTAAAGTAGACATTACAATCTTAATGTCATCCAATTATCTCAAGCAAAATGTAACAATTTCGTCATCTAAATAGCCTTTAATAATAGATCCTTTTGGCTAAGCTTCATCTATTATGTAAGAATTTAACTTGCCTAAGAATCCTTCTATAAGATACATCTATCAATATTATACAGGATCTATAACCTTTACTTCACTAACCAAGTGTACAGCCAAATGCACCATCACCATGAAGAATGATGATCATTTTCATATTATAAAGTGTTAACATGACTTTACATTGAAGTTGATCAAACCCATTCACACCTAGTGCTTTATTATAAAGATTCTTGAAGAAAGAAGACAAGTCAATCAAAACAGCAGACACTTCTATTAGCAATATATTCTTTAATTCTGAAGATAACAATTATTGCATTAGTCATGAGAATCATGACTTTTCCATCCTTCAATCTTATGTCGGGCAACATCAACACATCTAGAGATGTTCCTAGTATGTCCATCAAGCACAATTATATTCCTCAATATTTTCAAAAACCTATACTTATTTGCTGCTGATAATATAAATAAAGTCGGGTTAAACGCACCATTGTTATCTGGCCATAGTTCTAAACAAATGCCTTTTTTTTTGTAAATCCTTTCTTGCTTGAAGATGATCCTTTAACTTTCCAATCTCATTCAGCAGTGTAAAGATTATATTGTCATATATATATATATATATATATATTTTCAATATACATGACATCTAAATTGTGAAGTAACAAATTATTTGCCTAATATAGAATATTAAAGAAGATGTTTTTCTTGTGCCACTGCTGAATGTCTTCCCTAGATATACCTTGAGGCCTTTTGCCTGATGTGCCCATCACATTATTCTTTCCAAAGACATTGTTGATATTATCAACTTGTCTCAAACTATCCATGCCATTTAAAAAAATAGGAGGATCTCTATGCTTATAACTTCCATAAAATTTAGCTCAAGTTTGTGTTTACAATATAAAAAAAAATCAAATATGCCTTATAGAACATCATTTTTGACTATAAGAAAGCCTATGACAAATTGAATCAAAGTTACAAGATGAGCAAGCTAATCCCTTAAACTAAATAATGTCCCTAAGCCTAAGAAATTACTAATAGTACACATCAAAGCCATGTGTGAGTTAAAAACTTTCCTAGAGTATGAATCATAAGTATCAATACCAATGTTCCACATATCTAACAATTCTTGAATTAATAGTTGTAAGTAAACATCAATGTCATTAACAGGTGTTCTCTTCCTAAGAATAATCATCAACAAGATGAACAAACTTTATTTCATACACATCTTTAGTGAGAGATTATACGGTATAAGAAGCACTGACTAGCTACTATAACTTGTACTTAATGTCTCAAATGGATTGAAACCATTTATAGTTAAAGCCAGCCTAACATTTCTTGGGTCTGCTACAAATTCTAGGTACAATCCATTAAAATGATTCTAGGCCTTTGAATCCCTTGGATGCATTAACATATCATCATTACTTTTTTTACCATGATACCGTCTCATGTATTTAACTATCTTCGATGACATGTACCACCTCTATAAGTGTGATTTCAATGGAAAATATCTCAAAATTTTTGCATCTTTTTTATTTACTTTTTTCCCTTCTTCAACTTCCATATAGAAGTGTTGCACTTTTTACATACTTCAATGTCTTTATCAGGACCCTAGATTAACATAAGGTCATTTGAACACATCAATTTGTTTATCATTTTCCTCACTTCATTAAATGATTTTAGAATTTTAGCATTTTCAAATGCATCTGCTAATAACTCAAAAATCATGGACATTGTCATGTTAGTAATTCCACACAAACACTTAATGTGATATAATTTTACTAAAAAAGAAAGTTTTATGTATTTTTCACACCTATCAAACAAAGGTTGCTCTCCATCTCTTAAAAATTTAAAAAAACTTCTCGTCTCTTCATCCATTTGATTCAAAAATTAATAAATTACGAACATTTACTTCTTAAAAAATTGTTGTTTCTTGCAGCACACCAAATGCATTATGAACTATATTAATGATGGGATTTTCCTATTGGACTAGAGGTAACATATCAATTCTTGCTTTTTAGACATTTTCACATTCATCTACCCTATCACATGTATCCCCATCTTTTGCCCAAAATTTATACCCTTGAAGAAACTGTTTTAACATTGAGTGCTCTCCAACGTCATTCCTCTTATACCATTTTTTAAAATTACACTTTGAATTTAGACAAAGAATAAGTTCAACTCCATCACTATGTGACATTGCAAAATCTAAAAATGTTTCTAGTCTATTAAATATGTTTCAATAGTCCGAGGCATTTTAATCCACGATCTATCCATCACTAATAATGGCATATTTAATACAAAAAATTTAAATTTAATCATAACAAAATTTTACTAACCTAAACACGCTAGCTTTCTTCACAAAGATTATTGGTAGAATATTTCAATAATTTGCAAATGTTTATTAAAAAAATACATAAATGAAAAAGAAAATAAGCATAAAAAATTTAGAAAGAAAATCAAAACGATATTATAAATAAATGAATCTAACCAAAAAAAAACTAGCAAAATCATTTTAAAAAAAATTAGATAAGAAAAGCATACCTTATGAGAGGTAAGAGGCAAGCAAATGCCTTTAATAGGTGAATATTTGTTGATTTTACTATTAAAAAAAGCCCCCTAAGTGTACAAAAATGGCACCTTCGGTAGCATGTGCAATGCACAGCCAACCCCTCCTATGGTGGCATGTGCATTGAAAACGCCACCTTATACCTTCTAAGTGACATTTTCCAAGAATGCCTCAAAAGCACGGTTTTTTTGGAGTGTATAATTCTATGTGGGACATAGGTGAACAACAAAATAGTAAGAAGAAAAACATAAGACAGACATTAGTGGTTTAACGGAATTTATAAAATAAATAGGAATGATAATGATATTTTTTTGGGGGAAAAATAATACTGATAATTTCAACTCCAACAGAAGTATTCAATCTGTTGTTTTGTATAATTATCCGGGTTAGATAAGCCGAGTTTTTGTCAATGTTTAAGACTGTTACTAGGTAATTCCAACCTGGATCTCATCTTGAATTTATCACATATTCAGTTACAAAATAAATTTATAGGACTATTAATCATACTATTGAAGGTAGGTAAACCAGGGGATATGTTATGCCACAACCAAAATTCAAACCTTGAGACTTTTTGTCAACAAAGATGTGTCATTTGCCACCATACCAGGTACCTGGGGCAATCTAAAAGGAATTTTATCACGAAATAGAACTTATTATTTTTTGCCACTCCCATCTTATTATTTTTACCATTTTTAATTTCAAAAAGCACATTTACATATATTAGTTTAGTTATTAAGTTTTTAGTTAAAGTGTACTTTTAATCATTTAATTTGATATAAAGTTTTATTTTAATTTCTTAATTTTATAAAGTATTTTTTTGATCCTCTAACTTTAATATAATCATTTGAAATTAATGATATTAAGATTAGAAGACTGAAAAAATATTTATAAAATTAAAAACTAAACTAACACATCATATAAAGTTAGAAAATAAAGAAATGCTTTAGCCTAAGCTCTTTTTTGGAAAGGAATAACAACGTTATTCAACCAAAATTCTATGCGAATTAGGGCCCACAATCTAAATTAAATAAAATGAACGGAAACAAAAGTACTGTGAAAAAGTGAGAGGAAGGTACTATCAAGGCAACAACCATTGACTCGGCGCTTCCATTGGATTCCAAACACATGAGTACAGATTGCAAAAGAGATCTGATTGACGCAAAAGAAAGAATCATAGATTGCCAGTTTGACAGTGAAAGGCAAATTGTACACACAAGCCATGATTATCACCCAAAATTAAACCAACAAAATACTCATCATCTTCATTATTCTTCCCCCCGCAGCCAGCAGCTTCTGCTGTTAATCTCGAGGGAAAAAAAGCACCAATCATGAATTTAATAACAAAGCAAAATTGTTTTTTCAAAAATAAATAAGTAACAAGTTAACAATCTGATGAGCTTTCGAAGCTCCACTTTTTCTTCCTAATTGACCAACCAATTAAAGAGGGTCCAACGATATAAAACTAATCTTTTGAACCCTTGCTTTCACCTTTGCCCATTATAAACAAGAGGCCTGTGTCATTGGATGCTCCCTGCACCCAAGACACGCTATGCTAATAAGAATCAGTCAATAAGGTAAGAATCCAAAGCCCCAACATTTGGATTCTACCTCATGATCAATACAACAATAATGAATATGATCTCCTCTAGCTACTTCTAAGCTCTTGTACGTGCTCGAAAGAAAAGTAAAAAAGACCCCCGATTTCCTAAAACAGACACTTTTCATGATGATCGAGATGATGAACACTGATAATTCTTGGCATGAGTTTGAGACGTCGTCAAGGCCAGATGGTGGCACAAGCTTTATGTAATGAATCTCAGACACAGGAATTCTTAAGTAAATCAAGTATTTAATCATGAATTAACATATAAGTGTGTCAGAACTCAGAAGTGAAACCACTTGAGTTTCCCTGCAGAAATGTTTCTCTGACATGCTTATATGTCAATTCATGATTTTCACTAGAGAATTTTTCCTGTCAAATACCCAAATATCCCATCAATAAAATGTTGTTCCATGCTGAAAATCATCGGATCATTCTTCTTCTTCTTGTTATGCAAGCTGGTCTCTTATCTTCCCCACATTGTTCTTGACGCTTTTTCATCATAAGCTCCCCCCCCCCCACTAAAACTTGTTAGCCTCGCAAGGAAAGACATTTTTATTTATCCGCTTGGAGAATCTAATTTAAAGATTTTTGTTCAGAAGCTGTTCCAGAAGCTTGTGAAGCACCTGCCCCAGTTGTTGCCGCTACTGCTGTTGATGTTGTCCCTGTTGCTGCTGCTGCTGCCGCTGCTGCTGTTGCAACTGTTTAATGCTATTCCTTCAGTACTCTTTGTCTCAAATAGCTTTAAAAGGAATTCTTAGATAAATATCATCGATTGCAGATAAGTATACTAAGTTATTCATATAAAAAGACACGAATATCTCCCAGGAGCTCATTTCCAACCAGCTTTTATGTATTATTATCAAGACAAGCGTAGTTTAGTTTTTTCTAATTCAAAGAGATAGTATCATTAAAATCAGTAACTTTTTTATAATATTTTTGCAGTAGAGTTGGTCACCTGCACTAGTTGTAGTGGTTGACATCGGCACTGAAGAAGAAAAAGAGAGGATCCCAGTGGAGCCATAGTGTTGATGCAGAAATGGAAACTGTAGCATTTGGGGATATTGAAGTCCAAAACCCTGAGCTTGGCTACTCTGTGCATATTGAGCATAGAAAGGATAAATATTATGGACCAGTCCTGGTGGCCCAGATGCCCCACTAGATGGGTAGTATGGTGAAAACTGTTGACCTCCATACACACTATAATAGTTCTGCATCAGTTCAAACAAACAGTTACCATAATCAATGAACAATGCAGCCACAATAAATGAATCATTCATGTCATTTTTTATCACTCTGCTGCTCAAAAATAGAATCTGGGCGCTGGTTTCACCATTTCAGAGGTGGTAAAAATCAGATTTTTCACTAAGTGATACAAAAAAAGTCTCTGCACTATTGAACAGAAGTGATATTATGGTTTTTTGTCCTATTTTCAAGCATTTACTGCATAAATACCTACCATGGGATACATGGTGTCTTGTGAATATCCAGAATACCTGTTAATAGATCCAAAGAAGGGGAATCAGAGAGAAAGAAAGCAGAGAGGAAAATGGGAAGAATGGAGGGAAATGTTCAGAAACCACATGCAAAGAGGTAAAAACGATCATATCCACATATATTTCATTTTACCCATAAGCTGAATAAGGAAATGTATATTGGCCAGAGGGTTGATGGAAAAATGTAGAGGAAGAGCCTTGGTATGCAGGTGTAGCCACCAGTCCAGGTCCTGGTCTGAACCTTCCTGCTGGTACAAAATGGCCCAAGATTTAGCTCAGACCAAAATAAAATTTGGCATAAATCTTGTTCCTAAAAGAAGAATTGACATTGTGATGATTTTCGAAGAAAAAGAGGAACAGATGTAAGGAGGATTGAGAACCATGTTGAGGAGTTGGTGGGCGATTCTTGTTTGCTCCAAGAGATGCAAGATTGCAGTTTGCTCTTCTCCCATCAATAACTGGAGACGGATTCTGACATGCTCTCATGGCTGCTTCTGGATCCTTAAATGTAACCTTTGAAAGCAAAAAAAAAAAATTAAATAAATAAACAAAAGACGGCGAAACCAATGACTCATTGTTCAAAGATCACGTTAAAAACACCAATCCAGAGACAAGAGGATTATAAAGCAAAGCAATATGGTCTTACAAAGCCATAACCCTTGGATCGCCCTGTGTTCTTGTCTGTGATAACAACAGCCTCAAGGATCTCACCAAACTGCTCAAAATACCTCCTCATTGTGTCCCTTTCAGTCTCCCAAGCCAATCCACCCACAAAGATTTTAGTAAAAGTCGTGTCATTGTAATGCCCAGGATTGTTAGCACCACCCACCATCTGGAATTGTCTTGGACGAGACATTGAGAATCAGAGATTGTCGATGAGAAAACCAGAATCAAATCAACCCAGCCCCAGAAGCCAAAAACATGAAGGGGGAAGACAGAGTGTGGAAAAAAATAAAGGAAACGACGACGATGAAAGCCGGAAAGAGGGTATTTGTTGTTTTGTTTGAAGATCACATCAACGAATGGGGAAAAACACTCATGCAGTCATGCGATTCTGTTCTGGGTGCTCGTCCTTGTTTCTTTAAGAAATGGTATTTATTTCGGGCGAAGCTTTATTAACTGACACTTTTTCACAAACACAACGACAACTCCTCAGATTCCTCAAGAACGATACCCCTAACGAGAAAATCATTACAGCTGAGGGTGGAAAGGAAGGAAATGAGGGAAGAGAAAGGGAAAAAGAAAACCCTCTGAAGAAATTATTTATATATAACAACTAGTGCATAAAATACAAGTTAACACAAAAATGAGTGAGAGAGGGGGAGAGAGAGAGATAGGAGAGAAGGAGATATTATGTTGAGGGGGAGGGGGAGGGGGAGAAGACAAAAAAGCTGCTAATGGGCACCCACGACTATAGTAAGGATAGGTTGTCCAATGAGATTTGAAAGACCAAAAGACCAACCTTTTTTGCTGTATCACCACTTTCTCTCTGCTGTATCATACATAATAACAATAATATATTTGTGGGGAGGTGGGTCTGCAGAAAACAGCTGCTTCGCTGTATTCAACCTTCCTTTTTTATATCCTTTCCCTCTTCCTTCTACCGTTCTACGTCCGCCTTATAACACTGCTTGCTCTGTTTAGAACATTTGTGGGGTTCAGAAAAATGATGCCATTGAAACACACCTTGTTCTCTCTCTCTATCCCAAATCATTCTCATCTCTTGGTTAATGTTTTATCAGTTTCTATATCTCTCTTCTTCATCTTCTTCTTCTGATTCTGCTTCCTTGTGCGGTTGAGTTCCAACTTCCTCGTCTTGCTGCTGCTCCTGCAATTCTAATTAACCCAAAAAGGTACAGGAAAAATGGTTTAGGGACCGGTGATGATGAGGTTTTCTGCGGGCCAAAATTTTCCGGCACAACCTTCTGAAATCTTCTTCAACATTTTTCGTTTCATTTTGGGGACAACGACTACAGCAACAACAATAATAGATAATTCAAACTGCTACCCCTTCCCCTTTCCTTCTGCTTCCTATTTGGCTAAAATTAGACAATTCTTTGTTATCTTCATAAAGCAGGGAAAAAATGCAAATTCCAAACTCCAGCAATGCTATAATAATTATTAATTATATACTCATTTGTTAAAAATATAAAATATTTTTAAATTTTTAAAATGTAATCAAATTGCTTCTTTTTTAAAAGTACTCTAATGAGTTATTTATTTGAATATTTTGTTTGATTAATTAAAAATATTAACTTATTCAATTACAATTCTTAATAATTTTAATATAATTGTGAAAACATTGTCTGATAATTAATGATTTTTTTTTAGTTAAACTTTAGAGATGTGAATTACCCAATTTGTTAATCTTCTTGTACATGTGATTTGCCGTTGATTCGAGTTACACACCTATAAAACCAAAAGCTTGATGGTTTGAACATTGTTTTCCAGCTGCTAGAAGTGTGTGTGATCATAGATACAGGCAAAAAGTAACAAGTCATGTTGCCCCAAAAAAACAACGTAACAAGTCATGTTTTTACTGCTTTGGCTTGATTCAATATACCTTAGACGTGAAAAATAGATTAAAATATCAAAAATGCCCCTCTCCTGTACAGGACAACTCTGTCATTCTGCATATTCTTGAAATGGATAATCATAGTCACAGGCGAATCCCCGCTCGTGGTATAAAAATATATATTATAATATATATATATATATATATATGAATGACATGATTAAAAGATACAGGAGAGAGAGAGGATGGAAGACAGAGACAAGGGGGGGGGAGAGAGAGAGAGAGAGCAAGCGATAAGCGTGGTAAGCGGCGTCTCTGATGGTGAAATGGGAGGAAGAGGAAGGCAGATAGGGGTAGTATTGGTAATTCACAAAGATCTTCCGCAATCACTCATTCACCTAAATTCCCATTAAAATAAAACACTCTGAAATCGAATCATTACCGTCTCTGCCACACAGCCCCTGACTCTCGAAGAAATCGGTCAAACCTCTTCCCTTTAAATTCCTTTTAGTAATTTTATTATTACTACTATTATTATTTTTTGGGACAGGCCTTTTGGTAATTTTTGACATTCTTTTATTTATTTTTTTAACTAAAGCAGTACCCCTTTTATTGTCTCTTTGTTAATAATCCTTTTTATCATTTCTTAAGTATAAAATCCTCAACGTTTTTGTTAAAAAAATCAATTGGCTTTTCATTTTCTCTTCCTTGTCGGTTATGGAAGGATTCAGTGCTCTTTTTGTTTTATTCCTGGCCTGAAAAAAGATCGTAATTTTGTTGTGTTACGCTCCAAAAGCAATTTTCTCAAACTAATTACAGTGAGATGTTGAATGCAAGGATGTTGTAATTTCGTAAGCAAAATCTCAAATTTAAATTTTGTCAATAAAAAAGTTACATGGAGAGAGTTTTTCCTAGAATAATATATAAACTGGCCACTAAAATTGACGTGAACGGCGCGTTCCATTAAGCCATCAGCTAGATGTGCATGTGCTTATCTAACGGACTGTATTCACTTGTCCATGGTTAGTTGCTTAAGTGACAACACCACCTTCTCGTGCGCACATGAGGTCAATGGTTCAAATATTACACATTAGCATGTGTTTATAATACTAAATTGATTGCTTTGAAAAAATAAAGAAAATAAAATGCACTCATCTAATACGTTCATCGTTTTGATTGGCATCTTGAGTGCTCAAGATCAATAAAAATTAATTTCCATAGGCTTGCCACAGCATAAATTTATTATCAGCACAGTTAAATTTTCTAATGCTGTTTTTTATCATTATTTTACCTCTAATTACCCCCGGCTTTCTCTAACACAAGGTGGTAAATTATGAAAATCAAAGGATAACACCAATAGGCATATGCACGTCTGGGTTACATGAATTATTATTTAATTTATTCAGACGTGAATTGCGATAGAAACACACACAAAAATGGAGAAGAAGAAGAAGAACCAAGCCATGAATTGTATCGTTCCAAAAAAAGAAGTTCACCCATGTGTTTTTCAATATAATGATGCAGTAATATGAAAATGATGTTTTCAGAAGCCAGGAAGAGGGATAAGAATAAGGGGATGATTCAATTCGGAGGTGGTAGGGGGAAGGAATAGGGGACAAGGCTAGAACAAAGCTGAGGTGGATGTTTTGATACATAGAAAAAGTCAACGCGAGTGTGGGATTTGACAATGGGTTACATTGCTGTTTGCATGAAGGGAGATGCAATTGAAGTGGGCCCCTGAAATTTGAAATGGGCTGGTCGATGTGGTATTGGTTAGTTGTTGTGAAAAATGTAATTCGCATCTCTGATGATGTTTCATGGACAAAAAAGGTCCCACATGACTGCAGGGAGGGCATGAGGAATCTCTTATATAGTTGATTGTGGTAATGGCGTAATGCTACCTTCTCTCATCAATCACACACCATCATATGTTGCCACCCCAATTTTCTTATTATAACCTGTCTTATTGTCTATATCTATGTTTTTTTAAAAATGATAAATCATAGGAGTACTGTCCATAAACAACATTCCTTCTAATATTATAAAATATATTTTTAAAATATTATATTTAAAAATATAAGATATTTTGAGTCTTTTTAAGATACAATTAATAAATTTTTTTGAATACCCTTAATTAATAGGTGTAAAGTATAAACTTTTCTTTCAAGTAAGGATAAACATGTAAAAAGTGTGTAATTTTAAATATAATAAATTAATTCATTAATGATGTAATTCAATTAGAAGTGTCTTATGATAGTGAGGGGTAAGGTTTTAGGAATTCCATGAAATCCAATAGATCCATCTCGTCATTACGTACACTCTATCTATTCAAAAATATAAAGTATCTTTTTAAAATGAGATGTTAAAAATATAAAATATTTTAAATCTTTTAAAGTGTGATTAATGAGTGTGTTCCAAAAATACTATTAATTAGAGGGTATAATTAATCATATATTAGTAATTAGCATCCTATTAAATAAAGGTAAATATATAAAGAGTATAAATTTTAAAGACAATTAATTAACTAGCTCATTAGAATATGTAATTTAATTAAAAAGATCTTATAATATTGAATAGATGTAGTGTGTGTGTGTGTCATTTAATCCAAAATAGAAGCCACCTTTCAAAAAGCTTTACATGCATACATCTATATTTTCAGCAGATATGGAGGAATTCCAAAAACTCATTAAATTTATCGAAAAACTACATTCCTTTCTACCACCATGCTCATTAATTACATTAAATTTTAATTTAAGATTTTCTCACTTCTTGCTGAAAGCCCTGGGAAAAATATAAGAAAAATATGTTAATATACCAAACAATACCTGACATGATCTGTATTGGATCAAGACAGGGTTTTTGAAAATTGACTTATAGATTATATGAATACTACTAAAGTTTATATTTAGTTATTTAACTTTACATAAAATTTTATCGTAATGTCTTAATTTTATAAATTATACTACTTTGTTTTCATTTATAAGAAAAATTATCACTTTTTACTTTTTTTTTATATAAGTAAAATCATATATTTCATTAAGTATTTATCACGCATTTTTTAAATCACCCATCATAATTTATATTAACAAAAAATAATTAATGTATGCTTATATTAACTAACATGGAGCATTTTAGTCCAAATTTTTTATTTTTATATATAATTATTATGATTAATTAACTTTTATAAACTGTGTGATACAGTTTTTTTTGTTATATATAAAAATGAAGGGAGTATTATTAGTCTTTTAATTATAATAATGTTAGTTTGATTAATAAAAATTATTACATTAAATTATTAAATATTGATAAAATATCTTTAAATGTTGAGGTTATAAATATAATTTTTTAAAATAATAAGATTGACATAAAAAATAATTATCTAAAATTAATTGTGTTAGGATTAAATGGTTGAAAAAATATTTTAAAAAATTAAGGAGTCAAATGTACAGTCTAACCTATGAATACATATTATGGTATACTAATATACTCTACAGGATCCATTATTTATACACAACAGTTATTTTGTTTAATAAAATTAAAAAAAAACCAACATAGGAATGATAAAAATCTATCATCTAGGAGTCTCACTCGTCTTCCCCTAATATATCATACATGTATATAACTAAAATTATTAACATATTTCTTCTGATCTCATTTATAAAATGTATTTTAAAAAATTTATTTAATTTTATTTATAAATTATGGTGCAATTTTTTAAGTAATATTTAAAAATATTTTTAAAATTATTTTTTATAAAAACAAGTATGTGTGTGTGTGTGTGTCTATATATATATATATATTTAAAAAAAAAAAAAAGAAGGTGTTGATGCGTGG